GTTCTCTCAGCATATCTCATTACTGACCCAAGCATCCTCTGCTGTTTTACTACTTGCCCTCCCAAGACATAGTCTGCTAATGATGCTGAATTGTCACAGGATGAGCTTGTGATCATCAAATACATTTCCCTCATCATGACTGAAGTTAGGCAAGAATTAAAATCCTATGTGAAATCCATGAGCTTTTGCCCATGCAAGATTTGAATTTTTCTGATGGATTTGGAACATGGGGAACCAGTTCAAATAGCTCCATTCCAAATTAAATGAATCATTAACATTTTTTATTTCAAGAAGTTCTACTTTTCACCATTAGTTAGAAAGACCAATGCAAGCTTACGCCATCTCACAATTTTCTGCTGGTGTACTGGAGAGGTCAGCTTGCTCAACAATCATCAGTGAGTGACTGTCCAATTTGTCAAACAAAATGGACATTTTTGGGGCAGCAAATTCATGGGGACTAAAGGAAAAGTGGCTACCACTCAAAGTGGACATGGGGTCTGTAGATGGTTGAATTGAGTGGCATAAGTGAACCATGAGTCTAATTCTCCTTCTGAGTCCAAACAGCTAGAATTTTCTAAAGCCTAAATTTCGAATATGATTGAAACTGTTTCTTTTCTTATGATGCAGTGCGTCGCGCTGCTAAGAAGTATGGTTTACGGGAAGCAGGTGAGAATGATGAATGGACTCTCTATTGGACAGACTATTCAGTCTCACTGGATCGCATAATGGAAATGAAAAGTTATCAGGTACTCATCACTGTGAGGTAGTGAGGATATCAAATTATTACTTTTTCCCCAGTGCAAATAACAAAGAGGCTGGCAAGATGGTTGTTGTTATTATGTCTTTTCTCTGGACTTTTTTTTCCAGAAAATCAACCACTTTCCTGGGATGAGTGAAATCTGTAGAAAGGACCTGCTAGCAAGGAACATGAGCAGGATGCTAAAGCTCTTCCCAAAAGAATTTAACTTCTTTCCTAGGACGTGGTGTCTTGCTTCTGAGTGAGTTCTTAAAATGTCTACTGATTGATTTTTCTCTTGTCTTGCTTCCCTTCATATCACTCCCATTTTTTCCTCTCATCCTTTATTTCAGCTTACTGGTCTCTTCCTTCGTTTGGGCCTGAGTCTCTTCTTATTCCAGTGTAAAATGATAGTAACTCCTTTCACCTCCATGAAGATGCATCAATGTACAATTTGAGCAAGGGAGAAGAGAATCAAACCCATTATCATTCTGTTCTTTTATTTACACAGAGTAGTGGAAAAGACAAGGAACATTTTCACAGTTGAATGTTGTTGCTTTGAGCTGAATGCAGTAATCTGTTTCATTGCCAATGCAAGCCCCTTTGCTATTGAATGGAATACAATTCTTTTTTTATAATTAAGTCTACTGCTATATTACTCAATGGGATGGGTATTCATTGGAAGAAGAAATGATTTCTACATCATATTAAAAGTCTCTTTTATCTAAGAAACAAAAAGATCATTTCCATAACACTGTGTGACTCTAAATTTGCCTTTACTGGAAATAAAGGAGAGAGAGAGAAAGAAAAAAAGTTGTATTCCTGGCTCTGTGGAGAGACAGATATTTTTTCTTTCTGATCATTGGCTCTGTAAACATTTGCATTTGTCTGCCAAAATGTTAGCACTGGTAGGTGGTCAGACATCAAACCTTGGAATCATGTAATTCTAATTAATGTGTGACTTTTCTTTCTTTCCTCCATACCATCTCTCCTTATAGCTATGGGGATCTGCAAGCCTATAGCAGATCAAGGAAACATAAGACATACATCTGCAAACCAGACTCTGGCTGTCAGGGGAGAGGAATTTTCATCACCAGATCTGTGAAAGACATAAAACCTGGAGAGGATATGATCTGCCAGCTCTACATCTCAAGGGTAATCCCCCTGTTCCTCATGCCAAAACTACTGTTCTGTCATTCATAGTTTAATTCAGCTCAGCTTTTCTTGTCTATAATCAGCCAGCCAGTCACAAACAGCACTCACTCATTGGTCGTTGTCTTTGAATACATGACTATCAAAATAATCTCTCTCTTGTGTGCCATTGGGGTTCCTAAGTAATTTTTGAATAAGCTTTCCACTAGCAGATTTACCCACTGTTGTCTGGGTCTATAATTTGGGAATTCCATCAAGTGTATTTTAGTTCTTCATCCCTATAAACTCTTATCATTCACAATGTTTTAACAAAAAAGGGCTATAGTCAATGTGGTTTGCAATAACAGGTTCTTCTAGTTTTCAAACCTTAAACATTGATTTAGCTGTGCCAAATCAGAGCCCTACTCCACATTTCTGCATTTTATCTCTTTTCTGTAAAGTTTATTGGGAAGCAATCCTATTCCATGTTCATCCTATTTTTTCTGGCTCATCTTGGTTCAGTCTCTTTCAACATTTGCTCAGTTATGACATTTTGAAGCCTGTTCTTACTTTGGTGATTATATCTCTTTTCTGTTAGGTTTTATGAAAAGCAATCCCATTCCAGGCACATCCTGTTTTCCTTGGCACAACCAAACTCTTATGTTGCTTTAAGTTATGATAAAAGGACACTTTATACTTAATTTGGTGGCCTTAGATCTTCCCATTTAGGGAGAGTTCTTGATCAAACAGACAGACAAATTCTCTAAAATGTATCGTAGATTCACCTCTCCTCGGTGAACTAACCATTTGAGTGAACTTAACTAAATGAGGGACATCTTCTTCCTGCTGTACAGTGAGTTAGCTCTCAAAGATACACAGTATTTCTGTAGACCCAACTGGAGAAGAGAGTGAATGAATAGGATTGCTTGTGCCCTATCCTACAAACCTGTTTATAATGTATCTTACTCATGAATATATTGGCTGACATCTTGGCATTATCCTCTCTTCATAGAAAACATCCACATTCAATCCACTAGGATCTTCTGTGTGGCTTGGACTTTCATTTTGAATATGTTTCAGTATTATTTATTGCTGGTTTTTTTAACAGAGATAAAGCATGGTCTGGGGAGCTGAGATTCAGAACTGCTGGATTTTATATCTGCTCTTGCTCTGACTCACTATTTGGCATTCAGCAAATAACCATTCCATGTCAATTTCCCCACCTTTAAAATGGAGGGGGGGGAGGAAGAGGGAAAGCCTATGTGAGGATTAATGAGTTTGTTCAATGCTCAGAAAATTAATTTATAAGAATAAAGTACTCTGACAAGAATTGATTATATACCGGATACTGGGGTATATGTAAATTGTTTGCAGTATAGTAGAACGCAGGACCTCAAACAGAATTAGGGCCCATTCTACTGGATGCTTTATAATCATTTTAAGAACACCCAGACCTGTTAAGTTTCCAGGACTAGTTCTGATCATGTGAGCTTATAAAAATGATAATGCCCTTCATAAGGTTTGCAATTATCCTTTTTTGGATGGAATGTCTTATCCAAACAGTTACCCAATTTCTAAAATGGAGATAGGTAAGGAAGTGTTATCTTTCAAAGGATATTGAAAGATTTAATTGGTTAATAACTGCCTAGCAATGTAAAGAAGGAAAGTGATGTATATGTGCTAATGTGTTATAACGTTTGCAAGACTTGTTTTTTTCAGCCTGTAGGTAGGACTGTACAGCTATTTTCATCACCTCAGCTTTGAGTTAATGAGTTACTAATGTTCCTCTTGTTCTTCAAACAAACTATAATCAACTTGGTTTCATCTTCTCTTTCCCAGCCTTTTATTATTGATAGTTTTAAGTTTGATCTGAGGATTTATGTGCTGGTAACATCATGTGATCCTTTGAGGATATTTGTCTATAATGAGGGCCTTGCACGCTTTGCTACATCAGCCTATTCCGATCCCTCACACAGCAATCTGGTAAGTAAAGAGCTCTGTTAACATAAATTAACACCATTCAAATTCATAACAACAGGAACTATCTGTGGCACAGAAAGATAATGTTTTTGACTGCTACAATACCTTTAATCTGAGAATCTCCCTGTCCTTCACAAACAATAATAATTAAGTCTCATTTCATCACTGTGACACGGGTAAGGTATGGATGAACACCTCAAACACCACTGAAATGCAGCCACCTCTGTGGTAGAACATGGCTAGAGTTTAAAAGCGCACAATATCACTACATAATAGTTTCAGGACAGTTAGGGGCTGATCCTGCAAACACTTTCGTGTCACAATGACTTCCCATATAAATGATCCCATTTAAATGATCTTAAGACTATTTTGGGTTCATTAGAATGATGAAATCAATATTGAGCTGATCATATTTATTGCTATTAAATGCCTTGTGATTAAGATTTTTTTCTGTGTTAAGTAATGTCACCTGGTATCATGTACAAGAAGAGTGAACAAGACAGTTGCCTTTCTAACCTATAACCCACTTGTTTATTTGCAGAATAATGTTTGCATGCACCTGACTAATTATTCCATTAATAAGCACAGTACTAATTTTGTCCGAGATGAAGATTCTGGAAGTAAGAGGTAAGAAGGAGAAAATGTTAATCTTAACCAGCTAGTCTAGTCTCCTGAATCTTCATACATATTTCTACGCTTTCTTCATATATGTTTAAGAAATATTTCTTTCCATGGTATATTTTGTGTCATTAGTTACATAAGCCATTGAAGGGGTTTCAGACTTTGGGTTGTGGCTTGTAAGGACAATTCAACAGCTGGTAGTGAGACATTTTGTTTACCTGTGCCTGCAAAGGTACATGGAATCGCAACTTCTGTTGGCCAATGGGAGCAAGCAGTCCTTGGTAGTTATGTGCCAATGTTTCTTCTGCAGGTCTCTGTTGATGCCAGAAAGACTCCAGTAGTATGTGATCATTTGGAGCAATGCCTTGGTCACTGTCCAACAGTGTAAATGTCTTCTTTCTGCTTCCTATCCTAAAGCCTTGTCTATACATGAAAGTTGTACAGCTCTGACTATACAAATATATTTAAATAAGTATCACCCACCTAGTACAGACACAGTTATATTTGTAGAAAGGTGCTTCATGGTGGTATAGATATTACCAGACAGGAAGGGGAATAACTATTCTAGCATAAGACATCTTTATACCAGTAAAACTGTGTCCATCTACAGTACAGTGAGGATGAAGGCTCTGAGATTGATCCAATGATCAATTTAGTGGGTCTTGTGAGGACCCAGCAAATTGACTGCAGATCACTCTCCAATCAACCCCATTATTCTACTCTAGATGAGAAGAGAAAGGTAAGCCAATGGGAGAATTTTTCTTGTTGATCCCCCATGGTGCAGTAACTCAGCCAAAGGTACATTATTCATCTAACTCAGGGTTTCCCAGCCTATGGGTCAGGACCCGAATATGGGTGGCCATTACATTTCAAAAGTATTGCCAAGTTTCTCCCCAGGTGGCTCTGCCCCCTACCTCCCCCCGTTTTTGAATTGCCTTGGGTCATCAAGTCTTCCTGAATTGTCAAAATGGGTCGCCATCTAGAAAAGGTTGGGAACTGCTGATCTAGCGGGAGTTGAGTATGTTAGGTCGACTTTTTGCAGTAGTGTAGACGTAGGCTAAGGCTTCTACTAAAACAACTATATCATTTAAAAAACCACACACATCCCCACTGGCATAATTATACCCAGGGCTTGACAAATTGCTGTTTCTACTCGCCCATTGCGAGCAGATTTCAGCCGGTCGCCCTGTTCACCGGCAGCGCACGCATGCGCAATGCGGGTCTTGTGCATGAGCAATGCGGGGCTGGCGAGTAGATTTCGCCGCCATTTGTCAAGCCCTGATTATACCAATACAATTTAAAGTGTAGAACTGTCCAAAGACGGAGAGATTAATTAGAACAGTGGTTCTCATTATTTTCCATATAAGGAATCCTTTCCTGTATTTCTGGGATCCTCTCTCTATTAGCAATATAGTTAAGGCAGGCAGGACATACTTTACTGACACTTATTCATAACATAACTGTTGAGAATCCTTGTAGTAATGCATAGGCCATCCTCAATATCTGAGAAGAGCTTACATTGATATATGCAAGAGTTTCAATAATAATTTGTTTTGTTAAACTTTATTTTGTTTCTGCAGGTATATGAATATAATGAACTATGCTTCACTAAAGCAGCATAAAAGCAAACAGAAAAGTGCTTACTGTGCACTGATTTGACATTAATATGGGTTACCAACTTATTTTTTTTTCTTAATAGGAAGCTCTCCACCTTTAATAAGTACATGCAGAAGCATGGCTATGATATCGACCTGATGTGGCTGGATATAGAAGATGTTGTTATTAAAACCCTGATATCAGCACATCCTGTTATCAAACATAACTATCACTCTTGTTTCCCCAACCACACTGTGGGTAGTGCTTGCTTTGAAATACTAGGATTTGATATTCTGTTGGATCTCAAACTCAAACCTTGGTTGCTTGAGGTAAGAACCACAGCAAAGAACCACTCTTAGATCTTATAACATGTCCATACTGTGAACTGGTATCCTTTTTCACCTTTCCTTACCTCTGGGGCCAAATTCTGCCAAATGAGTTGCTATCACAATACACAAGCCTCTTCCTTAACACCAATTTTGCCTTTTTGTTTCTCTAGATCTCCTAACAAAAGTCCATTGCATATCATCTCCTGCATTATTCCAGAAGCTTGGAAAACTGATTGGTGACCAGCAGAGGGGGTTAGACTACAGAAAAGCTAAAAACAGCATGCCCACAGACAGTCACATTGATCTGTAGCCTTGACATTTAAATGTGTTCCTGCATGTGGGGACAGCCTTACTCTCCAGTTCTTTGCACAAAGGACTCTTCCAGGGTTATCCATTAACTTCAATAGGAGCTGAACCTGCTAATATCAGAGTCTGAATTTGGTCCTCACAGTAAATCTAATTACATAAGAATGGCCATACTGTGTCAGACCAAAGGTTCCTCTAGCCCAATATCCTGTCTTTCAACAGTGGCCCATGCCAGATGCTCCAAAGGGAGTGAACAAAACAAGTAATCATCATGTGATCCCTCTCCTGTCATCCATTTCCAGCCTCTGACAAAGAGAGGCTAGCGACACCATTCCTATTCATCCTGGCTAATAGACAGGATGGACCCTAACCTCCATGAATTGATCTAGTTCTTTTCTGAACCCTGTTAAAGTCCTGGTTTTCACAACATTCTCTGTCAAGGAGTGCCACAGGTTGACCGTGCACTGTGTGAAGAAAAACTTCCTTTTGTTTGTTTTAAACTTGCTACCTATTAATTTCATTTGCTGTCCCCTAGTTCTTATGTTATGGGAACAAGTAAATAACTTTTCCTTATTCACTTTTTCCACACACGTCATGATTTCATAGACCTCTATCATATCCCCCGTTAGTCTACTTTTTTCTAAGCTGAAAAGTCCCAGTCTTTTTAAACTCTCTACATATGGGACCTGTTCCAAACCCCTCATAATTTGTGTTGCCCTTTTTTTAACCTTTTCCAATGCCAGTATATCCTTTTTGAAACAAGGCAACCACATCTGTATGCAGTATTTAAGGTGTGGGCATCCCATGGTTTTATATATATATATTTACTCATATATATTACTCATCTTGCACGGAATACTATATTGGTTCAAGCTGCACCACTCTTGCAACTTGCACCTGTTTTCTGCCAAATCTAATCCACCCATTGTGTCACTTTGAATTTGGCCCATGGATCCTACTATACATCTGTTTCATACGTTGAAGTCTGCCAAGGATTCTTGCCAACACCAGATTCTGATTGGAATCCCTGTCAATCTAGTTTTCAGTCTAGTTTAATGTCCTGGGCTACGTCTAGACTGTCATGATTTTCCGGAAATGCTTTTAACGGAAAAGTTTTCCATTAAAAGCATTTTCGGAACAGAGCGTCTAGATTGGCACGGACACTTTTCTGCAAAAGCACTTTTTGCGGAAAAGCGTCCGTGGCCAATCTAGACGCGCTTTTCCACAAAAAAGCCCCAATCACCATTTTCGCAATTGGGGCTTTTTTGCAGAAAACAAATCTGAGCTGTCTACACTGGCCCTTTTGCGCAAAAGTTTTGCACAAAAGGACTTTTGCCCGAATGGGAGCAGCATAGTATTTCCGCAAGAACACTGACAATCTTACATGAGATCGTCAGTGCTTTTACGGAAATTTGAGCGGCCAGTGTAGACAGCTGGCAAGTTTTTCCGGAAAAGCGGCTGATTTTCCAGAAAAACTGGCCAGTCTAGACACAGCCCTGAGGTATAATTTTCATTGGCTATGAACTACAGTTAATAGATAATATTCTTCGTTTCAGGTGAATCACTCTCCAAGCTTTACCACTGACTCCTGGCTAGATAAAGAAGTGAAGGACCAACTACTGTATGACACTTTGGTTCTGATAAACTTAGGGGCCTGTGACAAGAGAAAAATCCTAGAAGAAGCGAAGCGGCGTGGAAAGGAGAGGATCCTGAAGCAATGCCGTTCTCGAGAGACCAGGTGTGTCCTACTATAGCTTCATCTAATTTCCTCTGATTATGTGAACCATAATTTTAAGGTGACCTGCAAATAATTTTTTTAAATGGCTTTTGTTTCTTTGTGATGTATACAGATGACCTGAACTGATTATTTTTAAAGGTTTTTTCTTTCCTGTTTTTTTAACCTTCAAACTACCAAGATTGTAAAGTCTAGCCTTTCCTGGCTTTGCTGGAGCGCCGCTGGGATACAAAAGGTTGTTCATTATAAGTTCTTCATAATCAAACTAAAAAAGTAAGGGTGCTGAATGTATAACAAAGTCTTCCTTTATTCAAAACGTTAATTAACATTTATTGAACAATTTGTTTAAATTAACAAAAGTAATCTGACTAAAGATTGCTTCCCCTCTTGATAGCTCATCTTTCGCTTTGTGCACTGTTGTGATATCATAATTTCATTACAGGTTGAACTTTAGCCCGGCATTTTCTGGTCCGGTAATATCTCTGGTCTGGTATGATTTTAGTTAAGCAGATGTCCATTTATCATAGGTGTGGCCAAGTTTCCCACAGTCCTATAAAGTTTGTTTACAGCCACCAGTCCTGGCCCTCAGTGTCCTGTACTGTTATTTAGCTCTAATTTATCCCTAAATGTCTTCTAAGAACCCAGTAAGCAGTGGAAGTGTTGGTAGTGCTGCTAGACAGTTTTGATCTCCTATGGTTTGGCATCGGTCAGGTCCCAAGGTGCTGGACTAGAGACGTTCAACCTGCAGTTCTTTAGTCATCATAGAGTCTTCTGGTTTAGACAGTTCCCGAATTTTTAATGTAAAAAACGAGCAAAAGATAAAATAAAAGTTCAGACCCTCTTTAACAACCACAGGGAAACCAGAAAGGAGACAAGCTCATTTTTTTTCCTTTGCAGATAATCTTTACATTTATGTTATGGGCTTGCTACATAGGAAAAAAATGAGAACCGTTCTGCATTAAGCCAAAACAAAGATGACAGGATTAGAGATGCAATTACAGTGTGAAACGAAACTTCTGTTCTGGAGATTTTTCCAAGGAGCTTGGCTTCACTTAAAATGCTGCAGCTTTGTTGCTGTCGTGCTTCGATAAAGGTGCTACCCATGCTGACATGGGGCTTCTCCAGAGGGTGTAGTTACTCCACTGCCTGGAGAGGTGATAACTGTGCCAGTGGGAGAAGTCCTCCTGTCAACTGGCAGTGAGATCTGCGTAATGGGGTCACTCAGAGATGCAAGCAATGCAGTTACAATTACATAAATTCCTATTCTGGATCCCACATGATTTGTTAACGGGTCTATCTGGGTTTTTTTTCCAGGGCTGAGGAGTATAAGAACTGCCAGGCCACTTGGCTGAAACAAGCTGAGAAATATGAGGAGAAAAACACAGGTGGTTTTCGTAGAATTTATCCCACATCTGATTGGGACAAATATGATAAGTTTTTCCAGAACAATAATTCACTCTTTCAGGAGACTGCAGCTTCCAGGGCACGAGAAGAACATGCTAGGTAAGGAGTATTTCCCACTCAGTTTTCATTAGAGAGGGTAGAGGATGCATCCTGAATTAGTATTAAATCAAAATACCCGTCACTTACATGGCACTTTATGTAAACTGATGGTTCTTTCAGATGGCCCTGTCAGATAGGTAAATTAATATTATCAATCTTAATCTGACAGGTGGTAAAATGAACACACATAGGTCAAGTGACATGCTCACAAATCCATGTTAAAGCCAGGATTAGAATTCTAGAGTTCCTGAGTTCAGGGCAGAGCTCAATACTCTAAATCATGTTGCCTGTAGATTTGACCAGATTTGTTCCATATCAGGCAGAATTTGTTGCCAAGATCCAGTGGGACTTGCAAACTGACAGATCTCATCAGAACTATTTTAGATCTTTTAGAACCCACCTGTTTCTTTATCTACAGGCAGCAGCTACAGGAACTGCGAATGAAGCAGGAGCAGAAAACAGCCCATTTGCAAGAGAAGAAGATAGAGCTGCTGGGAGAGTCAGGATGTGAAAAAATGAAGACTTTCAAAAATAAGCTGGTGAGAAGGGCAGCTACAGCACAAAGACTGAAGCAGGTGTGATTAGGGGGGATGATTCAGTTGATTTTTCACCAATTTTCCTTCTTCTTGGGGTAGGGGAATAGAAGCCCTAAAGGTCAGAAATAGAACATCCACAAGAAAACTAATGAGATGGGATATAACAGCAATGGGGATATTCGTGTGTGTCTGTGTGTATACACACACACATATGAAAACTCCACTTTTTTCCATCCAATCAGGTGAAGGACCCAGCGCTAATAATCTACAGGGTTTTTTTTCCATGTAGGCAAATATGTGCACCTTATAAGCAAATATCACCACCTAGATCTGGTTGTCATCTTTTTTGTGCCACACCACAAAAATGTTTCCTCCTTTCTCAGCAGTACCCCATATCAGATTGGCGAGGGGTCATCTGGCACTGGACATGCCTCCCTTAGGTTTATACAAATGGAGAATTCCCCACCACAAAGGGACTTCTCCACTGTCCATTTGCAGCTAGAACACGGTCCTTTTGTGCCACTTAAACCAGAGAAAGTGGCCGTAGTTCTTATTCTGGTAATAGTATTGCTCTTTATTCATATGAGATTTAATTTATTTTCTTTCATTCTCAGCATTATCTTTGTTCGGAGTCAGGACCGGGCACTTCTCTCCTGCTTCAAAGTTTCTCAGAGGAAAAAGAATCAAAGAAAGAAATTGTTAATGGGGAATCAATTCAACAAAAAATGCGCCCCACATCTGATGAGTATTCAAATGCACCTGAAAAACAATCAGGGAGGCATTACAGGTCCATGCCAAACTTGACAGAGCAAAACTCAACTGGTGCCTCCAACCAGTACAACTCCAACCCAGACCCAATGGACCAGGCAGTACATGGTCATCACTCTGTAGCAGATATGGACATCAGATTAATAGTAAGTAGCAGAACAATTGTATATACATATAGTAGTTTGCCTATGTTTCTATCTGCAGTCCATTCAAACATCCATCTCAGACTAGATATGGCACTTAATGTGGGCCCTGGCACTAACCTACAAGCTGTCTATTGTCTACATTTCTTCAGGCTCACTAAAAAGGGTTAATATGAGTAGTTGTTCAGTATAATTAACATTAAAACAAGGAAGAAGAAC